CAAGAAGACCTGGCTGAGTGCCATTTTCTAAGTTGGTTCCCTCAGGTTCACCCTATTCCCCACATCACTACCACCCTTGGTTAAGATTTTTTTTTTTTTAATTGTTATGGAGACAGGGTCTCCCTATGTTGTCCAGGCTGGTCTTGAACTCCTGGGCTCAAGGGATCCTCCTGCCTTAGCCTCCCAAAGTGCTAGGATTACAGGCATGAGCCACCACACCAGGCCAGTTAAGATTTATTGATATGTTCTATCCCCAGTCTGGCAGTGGTATCCTGGGGGCCAAGTTTGAATCTTCCCTCTTGGGCCAGATCAGAGGAAAAGCAGCACTCTGTAGGCCAGCATGGTGGTGGCTGAGGTGAGCAGATGCCTGGATAGGGACCCTGGTGGCCACAATACATTATAAATATATACAATATTTGTCAATTTAAAAATTAAAAAGCCAGGCACGGTGGCTCACGCTTGCAATCCCAATTTGGCAGGCTGAGGTGGGCAGACCACCTGAGGTCAGGAGTTCAAGACTAGCCTGACCAACATGGTGAAACCCCGTATCTACTAAAAATACAAAATTAGCCAGGCGTGGTGGCAGGCACCTGTAATCCCAGCTACTTGGGAGGCTGAGGCGGGAGAATAGCTTAAACCTGGGAGGTGGAGGTTGCAGTGAGCCGAGATCACACTCCAGCCTGGGCAACAAGAGCGAGACTCTGTCTCAAAAATAATAATAAGAAGAAATGTTAAAAAATTTTAGACCAGGCATGGTGGCTCACGCCTGTAATCCCAGCACTTTAGGAGGCCGAGGTGGGCAGATCACGAGGTCAGGAGATTGAGACCATACTGGCTAGCATGGTGAAACCCCGTATCTACTAAAAATACAAAAAAAAAAAAAAATTAGCCGGGCGTGGTGGTGGGCGCCTGTAGTCCCAGCTATTCGGGAGGCTGAAGCAGGAGAATGGCATGAACCCGGGAGGCAGCGGAGGTTGCAGTGAGCTGAGATTGCACCACTGCACTCCAGCCTGGGTGACAGGGCAAGACCCCATCTCAAAAAAAAAAAAAAAAAAAAAAAAAAATTTTAAACACTTTTTTTTTTTTTTTTCTTTCAGACAGGGTCTTGCTGTGTCATTCAGGCTGGAGTGCGGTGGCTGAGTCACAGCTCACTGCAGCCTCAACCTCCTGGGCTCAATCAGTCCTCCCACCTCAGCCTCCCAAGGCATGTGCCACCACACCCAGCTAATTTTTAAATTTTTTGTAGAGATGGGATTTTACCATGTTTCCCAGGCTGGTCTTGAACTCCTGGGCTCAAGTGATCCTCCTGCCTCAGCCTCCCAAGGTGTTGGGATTATAGGCATGAGCCACTATTCCAAGCCTTAATTAATTTTTTTAGTGACAGAGTCTGATTTTGTTGCCCAGGCTGGAGTGCAATGAAGTACAATCATATAGGTCATTGTAATCTTGAACTCCTGAACTCAAGGGATCCTCTTGTCCCAGCCTCCCAAGTAGCTAAGACTACAGGCACACACCACCACATCTGGCTAATTTTTAAATTAATTAATTAATTTATTTATTTATTAGAGATGGGGATCTCACTATGTTGCCTGGGCTGGTCTTGAACTCCTGGTCTCAAGGGATTCTCCTGCCTTAGGCTCCCGAAGTGCTGAGATTACAGGTGTGAGTCACCGCCAACCAGTTAAAAGCTTTTATAACATCCATCACTCTTGTAATGCAGCACTTATCTCAAGCTACTGTAACTGCATATTTCTCTGCCCTTTTCACTGAAGTGTGAGACTCTTCTAGGCACAGGCTAAATCTTTTCAGCTCAATATCCTCCTATGGGCTGGGGAAGGTGGCTCACGCCTGTAATCCTAGCACTGCGGGAGGCTGAGGCAGGCAGATTGCCTGAGCTCAGGAGTTCAAAACCAGCCTGGACAACTTAGTGAAACCCTGTCTCTACTAAAAATCCAAAAAATTAGCCGGGCATGGTGGTGCTCACCTGTAATCCCAGCTTCTCAGGAGGCTGAGGCAGGAGAATCACTTGAACCTGGGAGGCAAAGGTTGCATGCAGTGAGCCGAGATTGCTCCACTGCACTCCAGCCTGGACAACAGGGTGAAACTCTGTCTCAAAAAATATATCTATATATCTATATCATCTATACTCCTTTTTTTTTTTTTTTTTTTTTTTTTTTTTTTTGAGACGGAGTTTCACGCTGTTGCCCAGGCTGGAGTGCAGTGGCGCGATCTCGGCTCACTGCAAGCTCCGCCTCCCGGGTTCCCGCCATTCTCCTGCCTCAGCCTCCTGAGTAGCTGGGACTACAGGCGCCCGCCACCGCGCCCGGCTAATTTTTTGTATTTTTAGTAGAGACGGGGTTTCACTGTGGTCTCGATCTCCTGACCTTGTGATCCGCCCGCCTCGGCCTCCCAAAGTGCTGGGATTACAGGCTTGAGCCACGGCGCCCAGCCCATCTATACTCCTATGACTACCACGTAGCCCACTCCATGCTATCCCTCAGGCTGGCCTCGGATCTCCTCTTGGAACATGGTTCCTGCGCTGTCCTGTGCCGTCACCTTCTGCCCTTGGCTGCCATGCTGCTGCCTCACCACCAGAGGGCCTTCCAAATGGACCTCAGAGACCCTTCTTTATTATTATTATTATTATTATACTTTAAGTTCTAGGGTACATATGCATAATATGCAGGTTTGTTACATATGTATACTTGTGCCATGTTGGTGTGCTGCACCCACCAACTCGTCAGCACCCATCAACTCGTCATGCACACGTATGTTTATTGCGGCACTATTCACGATAGCAAAGACTTGGAATCAACCCAAATGTCCATCAGTGACAGACTGGATTAAGAAAATGTGGCACATATACACCATGGAATACTATGCAGCCATAAAAAAGGATGAGTTTGTGTCCTTTGTAGGGACATGGATGCAGCTGGAAACCATCATTCTTAGCAAACTATCACAAGAACAGAAAACCAAACACCGCATGTTCTCACTCATAGGTGGGAACTGAACAATGAGATCACTTGGACTCGGGAAGGGGAACATCACACACCAGAGACCCTTCTTACTACCCCACCCCAGGTTCCAGGCAGCCAGCACTGACTCCCCACCCCCTGCCCCTCAGCCTGCAGAGTACCCTGCGCTTTCTGTGGAGCCATTCATCTGTCTCTCCCTCCATTTGCCTCAGCTAAGGCGGCCTTCCTAGCAAGATCTCAGGGCTGGTCCAGCTTTCCAGCAAAGTTTGGCTTCTGCCAATGTGTGTGTCTGGTCTCTGATAGGGATGCTATCTTCCTGGGAGGCTGTCTTACATCCAAGCTCTCCTCAGGACCGAACAGAAGGACCTCTTTTTCCATTTCCATGTGTCGGAGACCTCCCTAATGACTGCTGTCTGCAAACTCATGTTTGTCCAAGGGCTACATGTAGCTCTTGGTTCATTTGTAGAAGGGGCAGAGCACAAGGTGCTTGTGGAAAGGTGACCACTGCGTGGACCTTTGTGAGACCCTCAGGACCAGGGCTGGTCCTACCTGAGGCCCTGGATCACCTGGAGGGACCATCAGCCCATCCACTGTTTCTCCCTAGGCCTGAAAGAGGGACCCTCGTTCAGGATGAAGCTGAGAACACACTCAGTAGAGAAAGGGGGAGAGAGGTGAATGGAACCATGGCCCAGGCAGTATGGAAAGAGGGCTAGGACCCAGCTGGAGCTCCCTGTGTGTTGGGTCCATATGACTGTGTCTGTGCTCCCTATATCGTTCCTGTGCACCTTCCACCCATGAAATTCCCTGGGAAAAGGTCGAGTTCTCTCCACCATGCTAAGTGGGGTGAGCAAAAGGAGATGGTTGGGGTTGAGGGCTCAGATGCTCAAGGAGGCAGGGAGCCCCCCAGGGGATGATCATTGGTGATAGTGGTTGAAATCAGAAGGATAGAGTTAATGCGGAAGAGTGAGAACCATGGGCCCCACTTGAAAGTCCACTTCCTACTGGCTGTCCACCCCCAGCTCTCCTCAAGCTCTCTCTGCAGAATCTCAGTGTGGCCTCTGTCAAAAAGCTTACATGGATGACCCCCAAACATGGTCATCTCCCCTCCTTTCCCCAGGGCTCTCAGACTCTCCCTCGGGGGTCCTGGGAGAGGTTTACCGGACCTTCCTAGTTTTTGACAGTATAACACTGTCAAGCACATGCAAAGTCTGCCAATAACAAGGGGCCCTTCTGACAAGCAGAGATGTTTTCTCTTCAGGCGCTGCGGTGATGGGTGGGGGTCACTGCTATGAAGGGGCAGTCTGCAGCCATGAGAAGGCTCTTCAGGCTGGAAGGCTTCACTCCCAAGACCCGCACAACTGAAGAGACCAAGGGGTTACAGGCTGACGGAGCTATCGTGCACACCCTCCCACCCCAGCAGAAGTGGGTAGTTGGCACTGCAGCGATGCCAAGGCCGGTTGTTTGGGGGTGGGAGGAGGTCGCTGCAGTGATGAAGAATCCCTGCTTGGAGTGAGTGGTCACTGAAGTGGCTGCATGAACTAAAAGTACCTGCAGGGATGGGGGAGGTTTTCTGCGGTGACGAAGAGCACTTTGCAAAGGAAAGGGGCTGGCTTCTTGCGGGAAGAGTCCTGCGGTGACGGTGATGGGGGGCTGAGGTTCGCTGCAGTCAGGAGGGAGGGTCTCTGCAGCGATGGGAAGCCACCCAGGGCAGGGGGTGGGGTGGGCTGGGGAATGGGATGCCGTCCCATTGGATAGCTGGGGTCGCGGCAGTGCGGGTGGCACTTGCAGGACGCCTTATTCCTGAAGAATGGAAAGGGTGGGGTCTCTGAGGCCTCGGTCCCGCAGTGACGGGGATCCGTGCGGCGGCGGGAACGCGGTCCCTGCACTGCGGTGCCCAGTCTGGCTCGGGCTGCCGCGGCTGGCGCGGAGGCGGTACCTCGCCCGAGGGAGGGGGGAGCGCCAGCCCCGCCGCAGCAGCAGCAGGCGGGGCTACGGCAGGCTGGAGGGGCGGCCTCTCAGAACCGGGGCGGGACCACCGCCCGCAGGGCCCGCGCCCCTGCGGGGACTCAGAGCCGCTGCAGCCAGAGTCGCTAGCTGGCGGCCGGCAGGTGCCGGGACCCAGGGCCACCCGGGACGCAGAGGCGGCACTAACCACACGGATCCCGTGGGCGCCTAGAAATCGCGGAGGACGCGACGGTGAGGCTGAGGCTGCCACTGGGAGGGGGGCGATCCCCAGAGCCAGCCCGCGGCATCCCCAGCGCGGGCCGCGGCGACTGCAGGTGCCCCCTCCTCCCACATTAGCTCTGCCGGGGTGGGAAACGATGCCCTGGCGGCTCCCATGGACTCTCCCCTGGCCCGACACCTCTCCCGGGCTTGCCTCCCGAAGAACCCCTCTTTTCGCTTTCCCAGCTCGTTCTTCCCACCCTTAACCCCTCCACTCCAGCCAGCACCCCGGTCGGATGAGGCACCAGGGAGAGAAAGACCGAGGCCCTTTCGGCGCCCCCTCCACCCTGCCCCCGCCGTCCCTCGCCGGGCCAGAGGCCTCGGGGGGGTGGAATTCGGACCCTTTAAACCTCCGCCCTCCCGGAGCATCTTCCATCTCCACCCGCGCCGCTTCCGACAGCTGGCGGCCGCGGGGAGCCCCGGGGGGCCGGCAGGTACGGGGGTGGCAGCGAGGTTGGGAGCGGGCGGTGGAACAGCTGTGACCGCCCCCACCCCCGGGGGAGCCTCGGCGGGACTGCCGGGCGCCCGAGCGCGCGTTAATCATTAACCCTCCGCGGCCCGGCTGACCAGGTAACGCGTGAGGATGCCCCCCTCGCCTCCACGCCCTCCGCCCCCTTATCTCCCCCGCCACCTGTCGCCCGCAGGAGCCCCCGCTCGGCCTCGCGCCCCGACAGGCCCCGTCCGGTCGTTGGAGTGAGACTCTCGCGCTGGCCTCGGCGCGGGGTGGGCGCCCCGTCACCTTGCGCCCAGCTCCCCGGGCCGGTTCGCGTAGGGCCGGCCTCCCGGCGCCATGCCCGGCCTGTACTGCCCCTCCAGCTGGACGCCGCTGCCGCTCACGGACTCCTGGGTCCGGGCCTGCGCCAACGGCCCCTGCCTCAGCGTGCGGGCCCGGCTCACCTACCGCAACCCGCAGCCGCACCCGGTGGACGGTGAGGCCCGGGTGGGGCGCGGGCGGGGCGGGGGGTGAACCGGGCGGGGTCCGACGCCACCTCCCGCCGCCCTCCGCAGGCGTGTTCGTGTACCCTCTGGCCGAGGCCGAGGTGGTGTCCGGCTTCGAGGCCGAGGCCGCCGGACGGCGCGTCTCCTTCCAGCTGCAGAGCCGGCGCCGCTCGCAGGCCGCCTGCTGCCGCGCTCTGGGCCCCGGGTTAGGGACCCCGACGCCCCGCCGCTGCGCGCAGGGTGAGTCCGACGCTCCCGCACCTGCGCTCCTGAAGGCCCGGCGCAGCTCAGGCTCCCGCACCCTCTCGGCCTACGCCCGTCCCCCGCCTTCCTCCAGGCTCTGCCTTGTGCATTCATTGGCTCATCCTCGTATTCAACAGTCGTGGGCTGGGCACCTGACCTGTGCCAGGTGCTGGGAGAACATGACCCTGAGGTTCACAGCCAGGGAGACATACACAGCAGGCAGCACAGGGCTTGCGGGGGCGCCAGCAGCCCTTACAGCCCAGGAGACGGGTCTCTCTAGGGGGCTGCAAAGGGAGCCTTCTCCCCAGCTGGTCCCCTCCGCCCCCTTACTTTTTTAGGCTGCACACCTCAGCCAGGTCCCGCGTGGGCCAGTGGATCAAGTGTAGACTCCTGTGCCTAGCAGCCAAGGCCCTCAGTCTCACCCCATTCCATCCCTCTCCCCGCGATCCCACACACCAGGTACCACCGCCACTGGCCACACTGACTGACAGGTCCCTTCCTACCTCTGTGCTCTGTCTTCCCATCTTCTATTGAGCAAATTCCTACTTGTCCTTTAAAATCCACTAAACGTCACTCCTTGGGAAACTCTCCCTGACTCCCCCACAAATAATTAGCTGCACTGTTTCCTGGCTCCCCAGCCTTTTGTGCCCCCTCCATTATGGCACTTACAGGGGGAGTCATTGTCACAGATCTGCCTGTCTGTCTCCCCGCTGGAGCATCTCCAAATCCCAGCACCTCACACAGAACCTGGCACTATGAGACCCAGCGAGTGCCTGGGGAAGGGACAGAAGCCCAGCCCTGTGCTGTGCGCTGTGTTTGCACCTGGTTCTTTCATTGATTCATTCATACATGCCTTTGATTCCTGCCCATGGGATTTACAATCCAGGTAAGAAGAGGAACAGAATCTGGTGGTGTTGAGAGCTGGCATAAGCCCAGCAGGTTGGGAAGCTCATGGTTAGAGGCTAGAGTGAGCTCTGGGGTGAGGCCCCAGGAATGTTCCAGAAAGAGGGAGAGCCAGCATTTGTCTGCAAGAAAGGGTAGGACTCAGTTAGGTGGAAGGTAGGGGCAACAGTATAAGCAAATGCTTATAAGTAGGTTATAGTGGGTAATGACAATAAAATGCCTCATGTTTACAGTGATTTACAGTTTACAATTGCTAGTATCACCTCATTTGAATCCTGAGTAGTGGGTAATGCTGGCTTCTTCCTGTTATGAGGGATGGAAGGGCGATAATCCCCCTCCCTCCTGTTATGGGGGTTGAAAGTCATAGCTGGGGTCACTGACTTACATGTTGGGTGCTTTGCATACCTCATTTGTTCCTCCCCACAATCACAGAGTTATTATGATCCCCACTTTATGGATGAGGAAACAGGCTCCTCAGAACAAGACAGTTGCCAAAGGACTCAATTAGAGGTCACAGAGCTGATATTTAAAACCTGATGCTGTGCTCTCTCCACTATGTCAATTGGCTGGAATGGAAGCCCCTTTCTTTCTCTCTTTCCATCTTTTTCTTCCCTTCAGTTATTCAGCAAGTATTTACTGAAAGGATGAACAATTGGTCATTGTGAGGAAGTGAGGTACAGTAGGGCTGTGAAGGTGGGCTGGGGCCAGACCACGTCGGTGGTGTACACAGCTGCCACTGTACATGGCTGGTCATTATTCCTTTAGCAGCCCCACGAGTCCCCAAAGAAACCTAGGAGTTAAATAAAACAGTGTGTGCAGTGTGCAAATGGAGCTTTATGTCCTCTAGCCTGCTTCCTGTTTCTTTGTTCCTCCTGCCTGGGAGGAGTAGATAATTCTGGAGCCACCTTAGTGGGCAATGGGGGAGCTCCTGATGGTTCATGAGCAGGAGATTTATGAGCAGAGTGGGGTCCCAGGCTACAGGGAGATGTCTATCCACAAGGGATGGTGGCCAAGGGCTGAATGGAAAGAGGCAGGCAGGGGGAGAGGGGCAGAGGGTGTGGGTATTCCCAGGGCCTTGAGAGTGGACATGGCCCCTTCTCTTCAGCCTTCCATTAGCAAGGATGTCACTGAGCTCTTGCCTGATGACAGCCAGATCTTTCCACAGTTAGTCTGCCTCTCCTGCTATCATTCATCTCATGCCTCCATCCTGTGTCACCAATGCATTAGCCTAGTGCCAACACGCAAAGTCCCCTTTGCCCAGGCTCCCTGACCCGATGCCTGCTCCCACCTCTAGCTTCCTCCCTCTTCTCTGCTCCCAGCGTGCTCTGACCCCATTTCTCACCCATCATAGGTCATCTTGTCTTGGATCTGGCCCAGGCCCGGTCCACGTTGGTGCTGCCCACAGGCCTTATCGCCGCGGCTGGCACCATGACAGTGACCCTGCACAGCAGCCGGGAGCTGCCCTCAAGGCCTGACGGGGTGCTGCATGTGGCCCTGCCCACTGTGCTCACCCCACTGGCCCCGCCAGGCCCGCTGGGGCCCCCCAGGCCTCCGGGGCTCTGTGACGACAGGTTGGGCCTATGGTGATTCTCTTCGTCCCTCCCTCGGCTTCTCTGGGTCTAGTGCGGGTGAGGGGGCATTGGTAGGGTACCCCAGGGGATGGGAAGGGTGAGGAAGGGCTGGGGCCAGTCAGCCGGAGGGGTTAGGGGCCTTCACGGTGGCCCAGTGACCCTCCTCGTGCTCCCTTCCAGCCCCACCAGCTGCTTCGGGGTGGGCAGCCCTCAGGAGGAAGGGCTGGCGTGGGAGGAGCCAGCTGCCCCTCAGGACGTGTTCTCAGGCCCTGCCCGATGCCCTGCCCCATATACCTTCTCCTTCGAGATGCTGGTGACTGGGCCATGCCTGCTTGCAGGTGGGTGCATCTGGCTGGCCTGCCCTCTTTTCAGATGCCCACTCCTCCCAGTGTAGTGACTGGAAAGGAAATAAGGCTCAGGGATAGGAGGGACACAGGACAAAAAGACAGGGACCCAAGCCTCAAGAACATCTGGGTTAGCAGTGGGAGCATCCCCTGGTCACCTCTACCTAACACACACACCCCTAATTTTATCAAGGTAATTTATTTATATCTCATCTCACCCACCAGTGGGAAGAGAGATACTACAATGGGACTAGTACCCGTGAGGAAGTAGCTTTTCCTTATGCAGAAGGTGGGGGGTGGATGCTAAATCAGCACCTGGCTGATGCATGACTCTTCAACCAGCCAGAAACCCAGCTGGAATCTACTTCCCTGCCCATGAAAGCAGGCACATCCTCCCTCGTCCATCTGACCCCTATAGATCAGACTCTGAGAGCTGACTGAATCAGCCATGACCCCTGCCAACAGTTGCTGTCCTTGGGAAGGTGTGATGGCTGCATCTCCCCTTCCTGCCTCTGTGTCCCTTAGGCCTGGAGAGCCCCTCTCATGCCCTGCGGGCAGATGCCCCCCCTCATGCCAGCTCTGCAGCCACCATCTGTGTCACACTGGCAGAGGGCCACCACTGTGACCGGGCCTTGGAGATCCTGCTACACCCCAGTGGTGAGAGACTGGGACACACCGTGGGTCACCCCTGACTTGCTTCTGTATGAATGGGGGAAGCATTTCTCAAGTACAGGTTTCTGGGCCCCAGCCAGATGGACTGAGTCATCTGTGAGGGCGGAGCCTGTGGTGTAGGAAGGCTGGACCTGCAGGCTCCTCCCAGACAGTGAAACTGGGCACTTGGGGTCCAGAGGCAGGGACTTCCTTGACAGAATTGTGTCCTCTCCTCTCAGAGCCCCATCAGCCACACCTGATGCTGGAGGGCGGCAGCCTGAGCTCAGCAGAATATGAGGCCCGGGTAAGGGCCCGCCGAGATTTCCAGAGGCTACAGCGAAGGGACAGTGATGGGGACCGGCAGGTACTGCCATAGGAGCCTGGCCTGGCCCCCGGCCTTGGCTGCATTTGTGCACAAGGAGCAGGCAAGCAGGCTCACATTGGGATGGGCACGGGGAGGCCTCTTTCTCAGCAAGATCTCCACACAGCTGCCACCCCCCATCACAGAGGGCAGATGAGTACTGTCACTGGAGGGCCGATGTGAATCTTTCTGGGGTGTGTCTCAGAGGATGGAGGCTAGGTCTGATATAAACAGAGGACAGCCACCAGCCTTTGCCCCTGCCTTTATTCTAATTACTACAAAAAGATGTCCCCTCTGGGTGGATCAGACAGAAAAAGGCCCCAGAACCAGTCCCACTGCCCAGCCTCAACAAAGTAGCACTAAGCCTTGCCCAGGCTGATTTGGGACTCCCCTGCTCAGGTGTGGTTCCTGCAGCGACGCTTCCACAAGGACATCCTGCTGAACCCTGTGCTGGTGCTGAGCTTCTGCCCGGACCTGAGCTCCAAGCCCGGACACCTGGGGACAGCTACTCGGGAGCTACTCTTCCTGTTGGATGGCAGCAGCACGGCACACAAGGCCCGTGCGGGTGTGGTGTGGGCAGGCCTGGGGGTGGGGTGGGGCAGTAGGTCTGTGGTGGGCTGGGGGCAGCCTCTTGAAGCCAGGAGTTACCTTGTTGCTTCAAACACCATCTTCCAAAGAGGAAGCAGATGGCAACTCCTCAGGGGATTCCTGTAGAGAGCAGCCTTGCTGCAACCGCCAAACAGACACTGTCACGCTCTCTTGCTCATATTCACGCACACACATGTCTCTCCAGGATTCCAAGAGCCTCTCATACATAGACTCGCACTCAGTCACAGGGAGTCACTCCAATCACGGGGAGACTCAAGTTTCATGTATATCTCCAGAGTCCCACACACAGTCTCTCACACACACTCGGGGACTCACTGGCACAGAGGCTTTCCCTAACATCCAGGACCTCTCCCAGGTTACCACAGCCTCTCATTTGAATCACAGCCTGGATAAGGCAGCGATCTGGCTTCCCTTGCTCTCTATCAGGGCCCATGGGGCCGGCCTCATGCCGCCCTCCCTGGCTGTCCACAGGATGCCATTGTTTTGGCTGTGAAGTCCCTCCCGCCTCAGACGCTTATCAACCTGGCCGTGTTTGGGACGTTGGTGCAGCCACTCTTCCCAGAGAGCCGGCCTTGCAGTGATGTGAGTGTGGTCCAGGGATTCTGGGGGTCTTACATAGAGGTTTCATCCCAGTGCGTCCCAGCCTGTGCCTTCTCTCTCCAGGACGCTGTGCAGCTGATCTGTGAGAGCATTGAGACCCTGAAGATTCCAAGCGGGCCTCCAGACGTGCTGGCTGCTCTGGACTGGGCCATGGGGCAGCCCCAGCACAGGGCCTACCCTCGGCAGCTGTTCCTGCTCACTGCTGCCTCACCCATGGCTGCCACTACCCACCGAACCCTGGAGCTCATGAGGTGGCACAGGGGGACAGCCAGGTATGGGATGGGCAGAGCCAGATGCCTAAGATTGAGCCCCCACAAGGGGCTCCTGAAGATCACAGCTGCTTCCTTTCCCTCATCAGATGCTTCTCCTTTGGGCTGGGGCCCACCTGCCACCAGCTGCTCCAGGGTTTATCTGCCCTCAGCAGGGGCCAGGCCTACTTCCTGAGGCCTGGGCAGAGGCTGCAGCCCATGGTGAGCTTGAGCCTGGGCCCTGTTCCCTACACCTGAAAGTTTTTCTTCCAAGTTACACATCAAGTCTGAAACAGAACTCAGGCAGGCCATGGGGGCTCCTGGCGCCCTCACCAGGCCTTCTCCCCACTGCACCAGGGAAGAGCTGTCGGTGCTGTGAAGGCCAAAGGTGTCGGGACACTGTCTCTGACCACCCTCTGAATCTCATTTAGTCCTGGAACTGAGCCTCATCTTCACAGTCCTGCCCCATCCATGTGGCAAAGCTCAGGCCAGGAGACAGACCAAATCCTGAGAACTGAGCACTCAGGCCCCCTGCTTGCTCCTACCCTCATTCCTTCTCCTGACCCCAGCCTGAACCTGTGCCCCATCAGCTCAGGGGCTGGGCAGATGGCATCAAGGGAAGGGCAGCCTTCCTCCTGTGTCTGGCTGTATGACACCTCTTTCCCTCCCATGTCCTCCCTCTGGCCACCCCGCAGCTGGTGCAGGCTCTGCGGAAGGCACTGGAGCCTGCCCTGAGTGATATCTCTGTGGACTGGTTTGTGCCCGACACCGTGGAGGCACTGCTGACCCCCCGGGAGATCCCAGCACTCTACCCTGGGGACCAGCTCCTCGGTTACTGCTCACTCTTCAGGGTGGATGGCTTCCGGCCCCGCCCACCAGGGGTAGGCCTGGGCTAGGGTATGGTAGGGGGGCTAGGGTGTGGTGGGGGGGCCTGGGATGGCTGAAGTCCCCGCATCTCTTCCAAACCCTTTTTCCATTCTCTGTGCCTCTCTCTACCAAGCTCCTCTACTATCCCCTAGGGCTCCACAGAGATCACACTGGGTCCCCCAAGATGACCAAACCCTGCCGCCTTCATGGGGTCTTCCACTGAGTTGTCCTGCAAAGTGTTGCCCCTGATTTTTTACCCAAGGTCATTAAAGCACACAGCCACAGAAAACAGCACCCGCATTTGCTATGAGGTTTCTGTCAAGGCTTGCTCAAGGCTTCACATAGTTCCCTACAGAAAGCACCAGCCAATGTATTTTCTGGGACACGCAGTTATGGATGAGCATAACCTAGGCGCAATCTCTAATCCCAGCTCTGTCACTTGCCAGCCATTTGATTTGAGCAAGTCACTTCACCTCACTGACCCATTTCCTCATATGGAAATGATATTGTTCACAGGTGGCTGTCATCAGGGGTCATAAAGTGAGTAGTCTTGGCAGGACACTTGACACAGTAGGAGCTGGAGACATGGTAGTTATTTTTTAATGAAAAGCCTTATCTCTTTAGAAGAACTATGCATACTTCCTCCTTTTTGATCATGAGAGCTGTATAATAGACTTTTTTTTTTTTTTGCCTGGCTGCCAGGGAGCTCAGGGCCAAACTTAAAGCTCAGCTTCCCAGCAGCTCTATTAAGCCTTACGGTGAACATGTTTGCTTCCTCCTTCTTTAGTATTGGTCTTTTGTTTCTGGTTTATTAGCTTTGTTGCCTCTTGCTATAAGCCATCTAAAAATCCTGTTTGGAAGGAGGTAGCATATAACTGCAGCTAATTTTTTCCCAATAATACTCTCTCTAGGGCCAAGAGCCTGGCTGGCAGAGCTTGGGTGGGTCCGTGTTTCCATCCCCAGAAGAGGCCCCATCTGCTGCCAGCCCTGGCACTGAGCCCACTGGCACCTCGGAGCCACTGGGAACAGGCACCGTGTCAGCAGAACTGTCCAGCCCATGGGCTGCCGGGGACTTGGAGCGGAGTGAGTGCCCAGGTGTATGTGTGTGGCTATGTTGGAGTGGGTACTGGGAGGGGTCAGGGCTGGGGTCCATTCTACTGCCTCCCAGCAGGTACTGATGCTCTGACAGACCCAGTCACGGATCCTGGACCCAACCCCTCCTCTGACACAGCCATATGGCGCCGCATCTTCCAGTCCTCGTACATTCGGGAGCAGTATGTGCTCACCCACTGCTCTGCCAGCCCCGAGCCAGGCCCAGGCTCCACAGGCAGCAGTGAGTCCCCAGGCTCCCAGGGCCCTGGCTCCCCCGAAGGTAGTGCTCCCCTGGAGCCCCCTTCTCAGCAAGGTTGCCGCAGTCTGGCCTGGGGAGAACCTGCAGGCTCCCGCTCCTGTCCCCTGCCTGCACCCACACCGGCTCCATTCAAGGTATGATCCAACCCACATTCATTCACCTTGTATCCAGCAAATATTCATTTACCACCTGCTGTGTGCCAGACATTATGTGGAGCTTACTATTAAGTCTAGCTAGAGAGAAAGGTGGGTAAATCCCCAATGATAATACCATGTAACAACCAGTGATGAGCACAAGGACATGTATTATGGGGGCTTAAAGTCAGGGTGACTAACTCCGCTTGAGGGACTCAGGAAAGTCAGAGCCATATCTGGAAGAATAAGCACAAGGTAGTCATGCAGAGAGGGAGAAGACATAAACGAAAACAGAGACAAGCAACAACCACAAGTGGGAAATAGGAAGTGGAGTGGGATGACACTGGGAAGGGGCCAAGGCCAGAGGTCATTATAGGCCATAAGGAACTTGGCCTTTCTCCTCAAGGTGGTGAGTGGCCACCCAGGGTTTCAGACAAGGGGCATGGGCCAGCTGTGCACCCATGTATGATGGTCAGGGGTTCTGCATTCCTTGACCAGTGGCCCCCATATCTCACATTGCAGGTGGGGGCCTTGAGTACTGAGGTGCTGGGCCGTCAGCACAGAGCGGCTCTGGCTGGCCGAAGCCTCTCTTCACCTCCAGGCCGGGCAAACCAAGTCCCCGGCCGACCTCGGAAACCCTCTTTGGGTGCAATACTAGATGGCCCAAGTCCTGAGCCAGGCCAACAATTGGGACAAGGCCTGGATGACTCAGGTAAGTGTTGGATGGGGAGCTGGTTTCCCTGACACCAAGGAGGCCTTGGGGAGGTAAATCCCAGAGGACCACTCTGCTCATGCCCCTGTCTTGCCTTCCCAGGAAGCCTGCTCTCCCCAGCCCCCATGGACTGGGACATGCTGATGGAACCACCCTTCTTATTCACGGCTGTGCCTCCCAGTGGGGAGCCAGCCCCTCCGGCAGTGCCTCCCCAGGCTCCACGCTGCCATGTGGTGATCCGGGGCCTGTGTGGGGAGCAGCCTATGTGCTGGGAGGTGGGTGTTGGGCTGGAGACACTGTGGGGACCTGGAGATGGCTCACAGCCTCCCTCACCTCCTGTAAGAGAAGCTGCTTGGGACCAAGCACTCCATCGGCTGACAGCAGCCTCTGTGGTCCGGGACAATGAGCAGCTGGCCCTCCGAGGAGGGGCCGAGACCACAGCAGACCGGGGTGAGTGGCTCATGGGTCCAGTCAGGGCCCAAAGGCATGGGCTAAAAGCAGCAAAGGTAGAGGTCTGTGTGTTTGGTCACTCTCCATACCTCACTTTCATCACAAAGGATTTGAGGCTCATGACAGACAAGATAAAAAATTAAGCAGGGCAATGGGAAAAAGTAAAAATAAAAGGAAACTGAGAATGAGGTTATATTATATTAAAGGTGCATGCTGTGAGGTGATACACTCTTGCAAGGATCGGATCCAGGACTGACAAGCTTCCTAGCAGCCAGCTCAGAGGGCAATGTGATCCTGTAATGATTCAGAGCACCCACACATTAAAACAAATCTTTGTCATTTAGGAAAATACTTAAGAGTTCATTTCCTCAGTTGCACTAGCCACAGCTGAAGTACTCAATAGTCTTGTGTGACTAGTGGCTACCACACTGGATCACGAAGAGAGAATATTTCCAAGTTCTGTTAGTGCAGAAATAGGTGGAAGAAAAGGTGCTTCCTCTGGGTGGTGTCCAGAGTGCTGAATTCTGGGCAGCCAGGGGGCCCTTGTTCTGCTACGGGTTGAAGGTTCAGCCTGACCACTTCTTGTCAAAGTCGGGGAGTCTGAGCTGGTTCTGGGCCTAGCAAGGCAATCTACTCTGTTAAAGTCGATAGAGGGAGAAGCTGGGGAGAATACTGCAATTTTTTCTATGAGCCCTCTGTAGAGGGTGGGTGGTAAGGGTTCCACAGACCGCTCCTTGGTTCCACAGGCCATGCCCGGAGGTGCTGGCTTCGAGCCCTTCAGACAAGTAAGGTCAGCTCTGCCCCTTCCTGCTTCACTTGCCCTGTAGCTGTGGATGCTACCACTAGGGAGGTCCTGCCTGGGGTCCTGCAGGTGTGCAGCTCAGGTAGGGGCCTCTTCTGGTGACCTCTCAGGTGCAGCTCTCACCTCACTGGCCACTCTCCTGGACAAACCTGACTCCTGTCCCCTGTGCCCCTGCAGAGCCAGCTGAGCCCCCAGGAACCCCTCCTGCCGCTCACAGCCGTCTAGATGCAGCTCCTCTGCCTACTGTTGTCTACTCTAAAGGTAGGGAAAGGGTAGGGGCACTTGGACTTAGAGACCACCCGCTGGCACTGATGATCCCCACTGCAGGACTTCAGGGAGGCTCTCCAGCAGGCGCCTGGGACTCGGACGGAAATGGCAACTCCAAGTGTGCTTTGGGGGACGCTGCCACTCCCATGGAAGGTCCTCGCTGCCCACCTCCCCGTTCTCCCTCTCGGCTTAGCCTGGGCCGCCGTCACAAACTCTGTAGACCTGACCTGGGCCAGGCCAACAACAGTGAAGGCATCGACCATGACTACCTGCCCCTGGTGAGGACTCGGGAGGTGGAGGGTGGCGCCGCCGGGGCCAGGCGCTGTCTAAGCTCGCTTCTCCCCCCACCTCCTCTCTCCTCAGGTGCGGCTGCAGGAGGCACCAGGCTCCTTCCGCCTGGACGCGCCCTTCTGTGCCGCTGTGCGCATCTCGCAGGAGCGCCTCTGCCGCGCCTCGCCCTTTGCCGTGCACCGTGCCAGCCTCAGCCCCACCTCGGCCTCATTGCCCTGGGCACTTCTAGGCCCTGGTGTTGGTCAGGGTGACAGTGCCACAGCCTCCTGCAGCCCGTCCCCCAGCTCGGGCTCCGAGGGTCCGGGCCAGGTGGACAGTGGGCGGGGCTCAGATACCGAGGCCTCGGAGGGGGCGGAAGGGCTGGGCGGCACCGACCTGCGGGGCCGGACCTGGGCCACTGCCGTGGCGCTCGCCTGGCTAGAGCACCGATGCGCTGCTGCCTTTGGCGAGTGGGAACTGACAGCAGCCAAGGCTGATTGCTGGCTGCGGGCCCAGCACTTGCCTGACGGCCTTGATCTGGCCGCCCTCAAGGCCGCAGCCCGGGGGCTCTTCCTGCTACTGCGCCACTGGGACCAGAACCTGCAGCTACACCTGCTGTGCTACAGCCCAGCAAACGTGTGAAGGCTGCCCGCTGCTGCTTGGGTTGGCGCCCCACCCAACACACTAGACACTGCCGCCCAGGACTGGCCTCTTGGTGCTGGGAAGGTGTAGGCTGGTGCCAGCCTGTCCCCCACTGCTTCCTACTCCCTCCCTAGAGCCCTCTTGCCCCCACAAGAAGTGCCTGCCTGTGCTCTCTCCCGCTCCTCCCACCCCACACACCCTCCCCTCCATCCTCTGAGCTCCCTGCAGCACAGTGGAAGGGGAGAGAGCCACAGTCCCCAAATCCTATGCAATAAAGTGCCTCTTAGGACGGCTTGAGTGAATTCTTTATCTGTCCCACACATGTCCCTCACAGCCTGGACCAGGCATCAGTTGCCCCTACCTCCAAGTAGGTTGCACAGAGGTGGACTTAGCAAGGTTTATTTGGAAGGGCACAGAGTCCATCCCACCCCAGGTCCTGAGAGTGGACTGGAGGGAAAGGGGTGGATTTCAGTGAGCTTTCTTGCTGTGTTGGGTGCTCTTGGGGAAAGGCTGCAGGCCCAGCCAGAGCTGCAGCAGGATGACAGCATGGCATACATGCAGGGCAGCAGAGCTGCAGGATGTGGAGGGGTATGTGTTCCAGGAGAGCTCGATGAGCCCCAGCACCAACAACCTGGAGATGAGAAACAGGCTCCACGTTTTATCCAGTTTCAAGGCCTGCAGACCAGCAGCATGCCCTAGACATAAACCCCCAACAGGAACTCCCTATCCCTTCCCACTCCCCAGATTGTCCCAGCTGGTACCTGAGCAGGTGTGTGAGCCAGCGTGCAGGCGTGGCCCACAGGAGGTAGGGCAGTGTGTGGAAATACCAGACATAGAACTGGTAGTGGAGGGAGCGGCTGAAGCAGATGCCAATGAAGTTGGAGGTGAAGAGGGTAGAAACAATCTGTATGCGGCGGTCAAGGCCAAGGGCAGGAGTGTGTGAGTTGGGGGCTATCCCAAAACAGAGGGGCAATAGTTTTTAGGTCACATAGCCCCCCGGCTCTGCCATTCCTTGATGCATGCCTTTGGACAAGTTTATTAACCTCTCTGGATCTGCTCCTCAACCAAATATGGAATATGGAGAGTAATACCTAGGGCCATAAGGCCTTGTAGGTTTGAACCCCTAACGTACTGGCTGTGTGACCTTGGTAAGTTACTTAACCTCATGAAGTCTTATTTTTTCCATCTGTAAAGGAAAATAGTAAATGTAAGTGTACCTCCCTATCTCGGAGTCTCTTGTGAGCTTTAAATGTTAGAACATATGTGAATCTCTTATGATAGTACCAGGGAGAGGTACTTGTAAGAGTAGCTCGTATTTAGAATTAAGAATCAAATATACCTCAATATGTGAAGTGCTCAGCGCAGTGGTGCAGAATAGGACTTCTATGATTGGGGTCCCCTTTCCTCACCCAGGTCACCAGCTGTCAGGGGATACCTGACCAGGACTCTGTCAGCACCTAGAGAGGGCAAGACTTACCTTCCCACAATTTAAAGGATATGGTTAGGTGTAAGGGGCTGGGGTGGAACCTTCCTTTTGGAGGGATCCCTCAGGAGCGACAAGATACTTTCTCCTGTCCTGGGGAAAAGCCATTCAGACAGTTATCAAGCCCCTATTGTGAGTCAAACTCTAGACTCACCCCATGAGTTTAACTGACACTTCCCCCAAGCAGCCCCTAAGGCTTAGGCCCTTCACTCCTTCCCCCAACTCTGCCCACGGCACTACCACCTTTTCTCACCTGTGCCACCTGCAGAGGGCAAACAGCAGGAGCAGGGTGAGGTGGGCAGCCAACAGGGCCAGGTGGAAGGCTCGATGCAGGAAGAGAGCCTCCGGGAGGAAGCGCCAGTTCACTGTCCAGCGGAACAGAAACTGGCGGCCAAGGTCAAAGGAGCGGGACAGGTAGCCAATGGGGTTCTCCAGCAGGAAGGGCAGCCCCAGCACCACCTGAGGGTCGGTGTGATGTCAGCAGAGCTGCCAAGGCCCGTTCCCAATGACCAGCCTTCACGCTACTCATTGAGGGGTGTGGGACTGGGATGTAGGCCTCAGAGGTTCCCCAATTCACACCAGAAATAGCAGGAAAACCACGCCCCCTGCCCCCACCTCAGGCCAGTGCCTGGGGCCAAAGAAGCTCAGGAGGGAAGTCATAACAATGCTTTAAGGTGTGGATTCACCAAGTCATAAATGGGCAGAGCAAGGAAAGCTCTCAGAAGCCAGGCAGGGTGGCTCATGCCCGTAATCCCAGCACTTTGGGAGGCCAAGGCAGGAGGATTGCTTGAACCCAGGAATTTGAGACCAGCCTGGGCAACCCAGCAAGAACCCATCTCAAAACTTAAAATTACAGGCGGGCAGGTCACAAGGTCAGGAGATTGAGACCATCCTGGTGAACACAGTGAAACCCTGTCTCTACTGAAAATATAAAAAAATTAGCTGGGCGCGGTGGCAGGCGCCTGTAGTCCCAGCTGCTAGGGAGGCTGAGGCAGGAGAATGGCATGAACCCAGGAGGCGGCAGAGCTTGCAGTGAGCGGAGATGGCGCCACTGCACTCCAGCCTGGGCAACAGAGCAAGACTCCGTCTCAAAAAAAAAAAAACACAAAAACAAAAAACAAAAAACTTAAAATTAAAAAAATAAAAAGGCTCTCAGAGACCATCAAATGTAATACCCTATTTTACAGCTATGGAAACTATAGCCTAGAGATAGTAGCTTCCTAGCTCAGGATCAACTCCAAAACCCTGTCTCTTGGCTTTGAGGGAGTCTCAAGGATAGATCCCCTCAATCAAGGCAAGTGGCTTCTCCTTGATTAGAAAGAGGAAGGGTGAGGTGGGGGTACCTGAAGGCCAGCACAGATGCCCAGCTTGGGGAGGGCCCCACGGAAGCCAAACTGCGTGAGGAGAAGAAACAGTAACCCAGGGGCGAAGAGGAGCACATTCATCTTCACAGAGACTGCCAGGCTGGGGTAAGCAGGGGAGAGGAAGGGTGGAGATCAGCTCCAAGGCCGTGCACACAACACCCAAAGACATACCTCCCACCATCACCACAGCAACCTCCTCCTGCCGCCACGCCAGCAAACTCCAGGATGGGACCTACACTCACAACTGTTGAAGGGAAGAGCCTGGAGTAGGCAGGGGCCAGATACATAGTCTCTATGCCTACTATATGCAAATAAGCATAAACTAAGTATTTAGAATGTGAAGGACTAATTCCAACAATGAATGCTGTCTGGGAGGAAGACAGGATGGAAAGAGGTCATGTGTGTATGTGGGGGGATGGCAGGGCAGAAACTTTCTATATATCCTGGACTGGCTTTGTAGAGCCCTGAGTGGCCCACGCTGTCTTGGCTACTCCTTTACTCCCTCTGCTGCAGGAAATTGGGAAGAGATGGAAATGCAGAAAATGAGAGAGGGGGCCAGAAGGAAGAGGTGTTGACCTGAAAAAGCAGCAGCCCCAGCCCCAGCGCTGGGCCAACAGGAAGTTGATACTGAGGAAGAGCAGCACCATAGCCACTGGGTCATTGAAGAGCCGCAGCACAAAGATGGAGTGGACACGGTAAGAGGCGCAGCACATGAAGAAAAAGACGAAGGGAGGTACCTAAAGGGTGAACACAGTAAGGAACAAGGTCAGCTCAGCAAGCCTGAGCCATCCCCACCACCCAGCCCTCCCAGGCTGGGGCCCTCTAGCCCCGGTAGCATGGATTCACCTTGCAGGTCTGGTGATAGATCAAGAAAACAAGCAGCAAGGTGGCCAGGTAGAGCACAGCAAAGATGTTCTGGGCCATGCGGATGTCAGTGCCTCGGCCAGTGGCATAGTACAGCCCCATAAAGATGTACACGAAACCAGCTGGGTACCTGGAAGATGAGAGAAAATGTGAGCCTGGGTCAGGCCACACAGACTAGTACCTAACCAGCCCCTCACATCCTCCCTGAACTTCCTGACCCCACTCACACAAGTGGTCCGGTGTCACCCTGCAGTTGGGTATAGTCATAGGTACCATTGATGACGCCTTCTACCTGGGCCATGTATGCCTTCCAGTCAATCTCTGTGTCTGGAAGAAGACAAGATGATCTGGTTACTTCTGAGTCTAGAACTTGTCTGCCACCCTCCCCATGCCTCCAGACCATCAAAACACAGACTTTCAGCCAATTCCCAGGGCTTCACTACCTCTTAATCTAACTCTTTATCTGACATTCTCTGGGTGAGCCCAGGCATCTCAAACTCAACATTTCTGTAAGTGAACTCGTGATCTTTCCTCCCACTCCAATCTACTCCCCTTCCTGGGTTCCACAGATGTCACCACTGACCTCTTAGCTACCAGGTCACGAACCTGAGTAATATCTTTGATACTCCCTCCTCTCTCATTTCCAACCCTTCATCACCAAGTTCTGCCTGCTCCTCACCATAAATATTTCTATCTCATCCTTCTCTGCTACTACATACTTGGAGCCTAAAGTAATCTCTAGCCCCAGTGATTATATAATAGCCTGCTAATTAGGCCCCTGACTTCTACTTTTACCCTACTACGATGTATTTTCCACCTTGTACACCAAAGAGTTCTTCCTGAAATACAAATCGTAACAGGCCTCTGCTTAAAACCTCTCAATGATTTCCCAAGACCCTTAAGATAAAGAAAACTCTGTATTATTCCCCTTTTTAGAAAGGGAGCTTAAGAATTAATTAGGTTAAGTGACTGGCTTAAGATAATTGAGCTAGGATGGTGGAGTTGGGATTGAAGCTTGCAGGGTCCTAGGTTCTTAATTATCATGCTGTCTTCTTAACAAAGCTTTCCAATTTCTTCATGATCTGGTCTCAATTTCTGCATTCCCATCTCTTACTACTCTCTTCACTTGATTTCTATACTCCAGCTCTAAAAAAATTATTTCAGTTCCTCAAAGGAACCAGGCTTTTTTTTTTGAGACAGAGTCTTACTCTGTCACCCAGGCTGGAGTGCAGTGGCACGACCTCAGCTCACTGCAACCTTCGCCTCCTGGGTTCAAGTGATTCTCCTGCCTCGGTCTCTCAAGTAGCTGGGACTACAGGTGTGTGCCACCATGCCTGGGTAATTTTTAAGTTTTGTATTTTTAGTAGAGATGCAGTTTCACTATGTTGGCCAGGCTGGTTTTTGTTGTTGTTGTTGTTTGTTTTCTTTTGAGACAGAGTCTCGCTCAGCCACCCAGGATGGAGTGCAGTGGTGCGATCTCAGCTCACCACAACCACTATCTCCCCGGTTCAAGCAATTCTTCCGTCTCAGCCTCCCAAGTAGCTGGGATTACAGACACCTGCCATCATGCCCAGCTAATTTTTCTATTTTAGTAGACACAGGGTTTCACCATGTTGGCCAGGCTGGTCTTGAACTCCTGACCTCAGGTGATCCGCCCGCCTCGGGCTCCCAAAGTGCTTGGATTACAGGCGTAAACCACCGTGCCCAGCCAGGCTGGTCTTTTAACTCCTGGCCCCAAGTGATCCGCCCACCTCAGCCTCCCAAAGTGCTGGGATTACAGGCATGAGCCACCGTGCCCACTCTAACTAGAGAGTTTCTGTTTTTTTTTTTTTTTTTTTTTTGACACGGAGTCTCACTCTGTCACCCAGGCTGGAGTACAGTGGCACAATCTTGGCTCATTGCAATCTCCGCCTCCCAGGTTCAAGCGATTCTCCTGTCTCAGCCTCCCGAGTAGCTGGGATTACAGGCATGTGCCACCACCCCCGGCTAATTTTTATATTTTTAGTAGAGATGGAGTTTCACCATGTTGGCCAGGCTGGTCTCAAACTCCTGACCTCAGGAGATCACTCACCTAGGCCTACCAAAATGCTGGGATTACAGGCCTGCGCTCCCGCACCCGGCCTAACTGGATATTTTTAATAGAGGATCCTCTGCCCAGAGCACTCCTTCCCCTCACCTTTTCCTTCTTTCCTTAACTAGCTAGTTCCTACCTTCCTTCAAGGGTGGCTCTATGAAGCCTTTGCTGACTCCTCCAATCTGGTTTAAGTGACTTCCTATGCCCTTTATGGCATTCTGTCTTACTACCATGATGAATACGATGCATTATCATTGCCTGCTAACTTATTGTCCAGACCGGAGTTAGAAATGCATCTCTTATTCACCACTGTACCTCTCTCTGGTAATATAGTAAGCACTAAATAAATATTTAGTGCATATAATAAGCACTAAATAAATATTTGTTGAATTAAGAGTCTTTAGCAAGAAAGTCAAGTGCCTTAAGCCTAGAGTATAGTTTCAGCCTGGAAAAGAGTAGCCAATAGTGCCTAATGGACTCAAGTGGTCACAAAATGCCATCATTGAGAAGGGACGTTCAAAGATCACAGAACTGAATACATGGAAAAAGCTGAGATTCAGGAGGAGACCTGAGGTGTCCAAAGCCACAGAGAAAAGCAGCAACAGCAGCAATACAACAATTTTGGCTCAAATCTGACTTCTAAGCTAGTTCGCAGGCTGTAAGTTCAGTGCAGAAGGCCAATCTCTAGGGTATCCACCTCTGCCATGCGGGCAGATTAAGATCCGGTTTCTGTAGAGCAGGCTTGGAGCTCAGGTAAGGGATATGTATGGGTTTGCAATTGATGAGTGAGTGGATACAGAGTCTGGTTTTGAGTTCCAGGTCTGAGATCCAGTTTGGGTCGCGGGTTCAGGTCTCCCTCCCTCCCCTCCCCTCCCCTCCCCCTCGGCGCACTCACATGCCACCCTGTGAATGACCCAGAAGGTGATGCCCACCTCCGCCAGGCAGAGGCAGGCGGCCACCAGCAGCGTGTAGCGCGGCTCCCGCAGCAGCAGGCGCCGCTCTTGCCAGGCGCGCTGCAGCCATTGCTTGCAGAGTCCCGCTGCCTGGGCCGCGGAACCGGACCGTCCGCGTTTCCGCAGCCCAGCGGCCATCTTAACGGTGCACCGCTTGTGTGGGCCCACCACCCGCGGAAACCCGAACCTTCGACACTTAGGTTCCGCTTCCAGCGCCTGGCGTCCCACCAGGCTAAGCGCCGATCCGGGTAGCCAGTCTTCATTTACTCCACTAAAATGTAATTTTTCCTCTACATTTGTCTCCTCTGATGCACTCCACGCTCCATAGGAGCAGGAACAATGTCTTACTCCTCAGTTTATACCCAGCCCTAGGTACACAGGCGCTAATTTAGAACGAATGTCCAGAAAAGCAACATTCCTGCCTACCTCCGCTACAGTCCCTGAAGCCAACATTCTACTTCGCTTACGCTGGGAACATCTGTGTTCATGCTGTCTCTCCAGGAGGGCAAAGCCCCTGTTCGCGCCCCTCCTGCCTCTGCTTAGAGCCTTCCGGATGCTGAGAAAAATGAACCTTTCACTGATTTTCAGACTTCCTAATAAAAGTAATTCACATTGAAAATATGAGAGGACGCAGTGATGAGCCCACGTGAGTCTGACACCATGAATGCAGCTCTAGGAAATGAGTTGGCAATACAGCCGGAGGATTCAGGGTCTGGACGATGGTTTTCCCAGCCGGAGGATTGTTCAAAGAGCGCTTAGTAAAGGACGGAAGTTCCACGTGTTTGTGTTGAGCAACTGCAGGTGGTGGGCGGAGACACCAGGGCCCAGCCTTCTGCATCCTGCCGTCCGTATTGGCTGAAGGGCCGGCGGCTCTGGCAGTCCCCGCGGTTGAGAGCATGGCTTCTCCAGGGGCCGGTAGAGGGCCGCCGGAGTTACCGGAGCGGAACTGCGGGTACCGCGAAGTCCAGTACTGGGATCAGCGCTACCAAGGCGCAGCCGATTCTGCCCCCTACGATTGGTTCGGGGACTTCTCCTCCTTCCGTGCCCTCCTAGAGCCGGAGCTGCGGCCCGAGGACCGTATCCTTGTGTTAGGTGGGTAATCCCGGCGCGGCCCCGCCAGGTAGAGCTGGCAGGACCGGCGCCGCGCGGGCTTGGCCCGGTCCGCTTTCCTCCCGCCTGTCTACCCTCTTGGAGGACGCCTGAGTTGGGACGCGAGATCCAGCTCCTTCAGAGTCCCGGCTGTATTTAGTCAAGGCAAATAGAGTAAGAGATTGTCGGTCCCGGGGCCCTCGGGAGAAAGACACCCCCTCAGGGTTTGAACGTGGGGGGTACCCAAGAAGACCGTGTCCGGACCCTCGGGAGGCAGGCAGCCTTGGGGACCGAATTGCTCAGAGGACCTAGTTCAAGTCCTATCGCTAATTGACTTCTGTAACTTAGGACAAGTCATGAACCGGTTCTGAGCTTTAGATTCAGTTCTAGAAATGGGACTGCGAGTTCACATCGGAGGCGGCACGCGCAGGCACCTCGAGAATAATGCCCAGTGCTTTTCTTTTTACTCCTGGGCACTGGGAGCCAGAGTCATCTAGAGAGAGTCCTATCTGAAACTTGGTCCTATGCCTTAGAGAGTGAGAACAGCACCCTCTAAGGGTGGAGGGGAGATTGCCGCCCAGGGTGATGCGATTCCCCAAAGGGAAGACGTGCTGGAGGAAAGGTAGGGCTCTGGGGTGTTCGGCTGTCCTCTTGAGGTTCTCTCCTACTGTCAACCTTGGAGGCGCTAGTAAAGTTTGAATGAGCAACAGGTTTTCTTCCAATTGTCGTTTTTACTTTGCTCTTTGTAAAAGCCTTTTTGTATGTTTAAGTGACGTCTTTAATAAATAAAAGATATATGTAATATAGTACATATGTAAGGTATAAATAACAAATCTAATGTGTGTGTCTATTCCACTCAGTTTGAGAAATAGAACATTACTAGGGATAGAAAAAAAGTATAATTTAGTGGTTAAGAACTAGACTGGGCGCGGTGGCTCACGCCAGTAATCCCAACACTTTGGGAGGCCAAGGCGGGCGGATCACCTGAGGTCGGGAGTTCGAGATCAGTCTGACCAACATAGAGAAATGCCATCTCTACTAAAAATACAACAGATTAGTCGGGTGTGGTGGCACATGCCTGTAATCCCAGCTACTTGGGAGGCTAAGGCAGGAGAATCACTTGAACCCGGGAGGTGGAGGTTGTGGTGAACCAAGATCGTGCCATTGCACTCCAGCCTGGGCAAGAAGAGCAAAACTCCATCTCAAAAACAAAACAAAATAAAACAAAAAGAACCTGGACTGTGGGCTGGGCTCACGGTTCACGCTCGTAATCCCAGCACTTTGGGAGGCCAAGGTGGAAGGATCACTTGAGTGCAGGAGCTCAAGACCAGCCTGGGCAACATAGTGAGATCCCATCTCTACAAAAAATTTAGGTCAGAGTGGTGGCTTATGCTTGTAATCACAACACTTTGGGAGACCAAGGCGGGTGGATCATTTGAGGTCAGGAGTTCAAGATCAGCCTGGCCAACATGGTGAAACCCTGTCTCTACTAAAAATACAAAAATCAGCCAGGTGTGGTGGCACGTGCCTCTAATCCCAGGTACTTGGAAGGCTGAGGCAGGAGAATTGCTTGAGCCCAGGAGGTGAAGGTTGCGGTGAGCCAAGATTGCACCACTCCACTCCAGCCTGGGCAACAGAGTGAGACCCTGACTCAAAAAAAAAAAAAAATTAAAAATTAGCTGGGTATGGTGGCCTGTGCCCATAGTCCCAGCTACTCAAGAGGCTGAGGCAGGAGGATCATTTGAGCCAGGAGATCCAGGCTGCAGTGAACTGTGATGGCTCCACTGGGCTTCAGCCTAGGTGACAGAATGAGACCCTGTCTCAAAACAAAGCAAAACAAAAAACAAACAAAAAACCATCTTGGACTCTAGAGGCAGTGAATGATGTTGGAATCTTGGCTCAGCTTTTACTGGCTGTGTAATCCTGGACAAAATACTTGAATTTCTGTGCTTCCATTTTCTCAACCTTAAAAACATAAGCATATTTATTAATTGGGCTTTAAGATGATTAAATGAGCATGAAGTATACCTAAAACAATGCCTGGCAAAATGAAAAGTATATTCAAGGTTCTCTGTGTGGTCCTCCTAAAACCCCTTCTCCCCACAAGTAAACACTTTCTTGAATCTGTGATTTTAAACCATTGCACTTATTTATCAATTTACCATAGATCTATGTTTTCTCAAGCTTTAGTGTGTATCAAAATTGCCTGGAGAGCTACATTGCACTGTGAGATTCTAATTCCAGGGATGGTCTAATGTGGGTCTCAGGAATCTGTATGTTCAACAAGCTTCACAGCAGATTCTTATGCTGGTGATTGGCAGAGTAACACTGCCTTAAAATCTACTTGATCGGTTTTTCACCAAACTGATGCTTTAAAAAAAATCTGCGCCAGGTGCGGTGGCTCAAGCCTGTAATCCCAGCACTTTGGGAGGCCGAGATGGGTGGATCACGAGGTCAGGAGATCGAGACCATCCTGGCTAACTCGGTGAAACCCCGTCTCTACTGAAAATACAAAAAACTAGCCGGGCAAGGTGGCGGGCACCTGTAGTCCCAGCTACTCGGGAGGCTGAGGCAGGAGAATGGCATGAACCCGGGAGGCGGAGCTTGCAGTGAGCTGAGATCCGGCCACTGCACTCCAGCCTGGGTGACAGAGCGAGACTCCGTCTCAAAAAAAAAAAAAAAAAAATCTGCTTGACTGGGAACTGTCCTTTTCTGGATAGGAAGGGCAAAAAGTCTAAAAACCAAAAGGGGAATTTCTAGAATGGCCAAGATGTAAGAACAGGACCCACAACTTGGGGAATACTCTACATTACATTCCACCTCAACAAACTTAAGTTGAATGCCTGATAAGAGCCAGAGAACGTGCTGGGCCCTTTCTGACTTACTTAATCCTTATAACAATCCCTAAAGGCAAGTCAAAAGTATTAAGAGACTTACTCTAGGCTAGGGGTCTGTAAACTTTTTTTGAAAATGGCCAAACAATAATTTAGGCTTTGCAGGCTACACAGTCTCTTTTACAATGACTCGGTTCTGCTGTTGTAGTGGAGAAGCAGCTACAGATAATACAAAAGTGAATGAAGGCCGGGCGGGATGGCTCATGCCTGTAATCCCACCACTTTGGGAGGCTGAGGCGGGCGGATCATCTGGGTCAGGAGTTCCAGAGCAGTCTGCCCACCACGGTGAAACCCCGTTTCTACTAAAAATATAAAAATCAGCTGGGTATGGTGGCAGGCACCCTTATTCCCAGCTACTGCGGAGGCTGAGGCAAGAGAATTGCTTGAACCAGGGAGTCGGAGGTTGCAGTGAGCGGAGATTGTGCCACTGCACTCCAGCCTGGGTGACAGATTGAAACTCCATCTCAAAAAAAAAAAAAAAGTGAATGAGAATAGCCATGTATCAATATAACTTTACAAAAACAGGTGGCAAGCTGCATTTGGCAACCCCTGCCACTCACTGTCTTAGATTGAGTTCCCCAGAAGCAAATCCTGAGATGAGGATTCATGTCCAAGTTACTTGTTAGGAATGTGCTCCCAGGAGAATTGGTAAGAGCTAGAGGGAACAGGGAAAGGAAAGAAGCGAAGTTTCCCTGAAGGTTGTTTCAGGCTGAAGAGTCACAGATGTACACCATTAGAAGCAAACACACACCAAAACCTAGGGATATAAAAATTAAAATGGGTAAAAAGACTCCCAGAGCATCTAGTCAGAACACTGACAGTGTCCACTACTGTCATGCAGCAAGTAAGTGAAGTAAGTGTGCTTTGTGACACCACACAGATGGGTGTAGGGAGGCACCTAGAACTCTTAAAACTGGTAAAATGACTACATTGTGAATTATAGCCTTATGGTTATATCGACATAGCTAACAATGGGATGTCACAACTGAAGGTGAGTGGGCCTCTTGAAAACTGGGAGGCAGTTGAACACAGTGGTTTCAGAGCTCTGGCTCTGGAGCAATAGAGACCTGTGTCCAAATTCTGGCTCTTCCACTGACTATGTGACCTTGAGAAAGTTTCTTACCACTTTCCTCAATTTTCTCATGGAGAAAATGGGAATGGTAATAATAGTATCTTTTTTTTTTTTTTTTTTTTTTTAGACAGAGTCTTGTTCTGTTGCCCAGACTGGAGTGCAGTGGTGCAATCTTGGCTTACTGCAACCTCCGCTCATGGGTTCAAGTGATTCTCCTGCCTCAGCCTCTCGAGTAGCTGGGATTACAGGTGCCCACCATCACGCCTGGCTAATTTTTGTATTTTTAGTAGATGGGGTTTCACCATGTTGGTCAGGCTGGTCTGCAACTTCTGACCTCAAGTGATCTGCCCACCTTGGCCTCCCAAAGTGGTGGGATTACAGGCATGAGCCACCGTGCCCAGCCAATAGTATCCTTTATATGGCTCTACTATGAAAGTAAACTGAAATAATTCTTATAAATGCTTAACATAGTACCTGGTGTTCAATGACTGTTAGCTATTATTATTTTTATTGAAAATGGGAATCAGAGAAGCAGTTTATCCAGGACTGTTCAGAGAACAGAGTACCCTGTGGGAGGACTCGTGTGTCTGGTCCCTATGGCTAAAATATCCTCATAGCAAATGAATATATATGAATGGCTGGCCCCACTTGGCTGTTATTGTGCTTTTCTGATTTGCTGTGCTTGCTTGACTTCATGCTCTGT